ACGCCTTTAATCCCAGCACTTGGGAGGCAGAGGCAGGCGGATTTCTGAGTTCGAGGCCGGTCTGGTCTACAGAGTGAGTTCCAGGACAGCCAGGACTACACAGAGAAACCCTGTCTCGGAAAAACCAAACCAAACCAAACCAAACCAAAACAAACCAAACCAAAACAAAACAAAGCAAAACAAAACTTACAGCGATCCTCCTGCCTCTGCCTCCTGAGTGCTGAGATTAAAGGCCTGTGCTACCATTGCCAGTGCAACAAGTGCTTTTAACAGCTGAACTAGTGAACTATCTATCTCCAGTCGTCTTAGGGTGTGTACTCATGCCTGTGCAAAGTATACACGGTGCATTTTTAAAAAAATTTTTAAGGTTTATGTATGTATGTATGTATGTATGTATGTGTGTCTGTGTGTGTGTGTATGTATGTATGTATGTATGAGTGCTCTATCTGCATGTACACGCGCATGCCAGAGGAGGGCATCAGATCACACTATAAAATTAATAATCACATTAATAAAGAGCTCTGTTCTTTATTCAAATAAATGTTGGGGAGAAAGCCCAAGTGCTATGGGAAGTATGCCTAGAAATGAGATAAAAGCCAGCATGGTGGCGCACACCTTTAGTCACAGCACTAGGGAGGCAGAGGCAGGCAGAACCTTGTGGGTTCCAGGCCAGCCTGGTCTACATAGTGAGTTCCAGTTCAGTCAAGGATAGATAGAGAAACCCTGCCTCAAACAAACAAGCAAACAAATAACAAAACAATAACAACAGTAACAGAAAGAAAAAGAAAGAAGAAAAGAGAAGAAGGAAAGAAAAGCTACACAGCTGTGGTTCTGCAGCCCAGCAGCCGGGCAACTCCTGCCCTCAGTTTATAGGTTGATAAGTTTTAGGGAAAACTTGACAAGACATGGAAACACGGAGGAGGTCCTTCCTGTTTAGATCGGAGGGAAGGGCTGGGAGTGTGGTAAACTTTTCCTGGGGATACATGAACATAGTAACAATCCCACCCAAGTCTGACTTGCAAGACAAATGAGTTTATTGGACTAACTTCCAGAGTACAGATGAGAGTTACTCACTGCAGCGTGGGTGACAGCTGCATCATGGGAAAGTCCCACCTAGTAGTGGATCCTGAGCTCATGGGAGCTTCTCTTTGAGACTTGCACCCTGGCATAGGGAGCAGGAGGGGTCATGGCTGGAATCCTAGGTGAAGTTCCCCTGACCTTAGGCAGCCTCCTTCTAGGGAAAGTTAACTGTTCCATTAAGGTACATACATGTATCACTGTATTGTTTTGCTCAGTGAGTTGCCATGGCTACCAATCCAAGGTAATTTGTACTCCTTGGTGGTTGTGGATGATTGCTATGCCCCGAGAAAAGACCACACAACTTTACTGAGGTGGACAGCCTTTCAAGTTAGGTTGAGATCAAAATTGAGGATTTCAGCCACTGAAGATCTGGGAGAAGAGACTCCAAGAAAAAAAATAGATGGAGAGGACCAAGGTCCTGGGGCAGGAACCAACGGGTGTGTTGGGTGTGTTTTATGACTAGAGGAGGAGGGTGAGGAGCAGCGGGGGCCTGGGGGGTTGGAGAAGAATGTGGAGTGACAAGCCATTCTGGTCTTACAGGCTACAGGCTACTGAGAGTTTAGATTCCAGACCAAGTAACCTGGGCAGCCGGGGATTGTATTAGGAAAGAGTGGGATGTGTGTGTGTGTGTGTGTGTGTGTGTGTGTGTGTGTGTTTTGAACCCAGGGCCTTGTACATGCTAAGCAAATACTTTACCACCAAGCCATATCTCTAGACTTTTATTTTTGAGACAAGATCTCATGTTATCCTGGCTGGCCTGGAACTCACTCTGTAGACCAGGCTAGCCTCCAATTGTCTCCCTCTGTCTCCCAAAGGATACATAATTATGTATATTTGGCTTTTTGAGACGAGGTCCTACCATGTAGCCAGGTTGGTCTTAAACTGGCAGGATATTTCACCTCAACTTCCCAGAGATTGAACCACACTCTTGACTCTATAAACTAATTTAAGAAATGTATTGTTACTGGGGCTGGAGAGATGGTTCAGAGCTTGTACTGCTTTTCCAGAAGATGGGAGTTCAGTTCTTAGCACAGACAGCAGCCAAACTCCAGCTCCTACAGTCACATGTATATACCTACACAGAGACACATATTTGAATAATTAATAATAAAATTTCAGTCTTTTATTATTGTGTGTGCATGATGTGTGTGGGTAGGTGAGGATGCCACTTCCTGTGTATGGAGGTCACAGGATAACTCTGTAGATTTTCTGCTTTCCACCTCTACCTGCATTCTGGGTTGGGACTCAGTTTGCCAAACTTGCACCATAGGCGTCTTTATCGACAGAGCTATCTCTGCCTGCCCAGGCCCTTAACGTTTTACTTTGATATAGAGTATCAAACTGAGGAGGCAGGGATAGATGATAGCGGGAAGCAGAGGACGAATTCCAGACGCAGGCAAGGACAGAGCACCGAGGGACCAGGCGCCCTCCCGGGTGAGCCCCGGAACCGGCATCCGTTTGGAATCCGGGAGGGAGGCTCCGCGCGAGGGCTGGCCGGGACGGCGCGTCCTGGCGCCCGGCGTCTGCTCGCGGAGCCAGCCCTGGCAGCACGCCTGCCGGGCGTTTCCTGGCAACCAGCCACCGCCTGAACGTTCCGAACTCTACAGCCCGCGACGTCACCGTCACCTTGACGACGGCCGTAGGGACACGCCCCGTCGGTCCCGAGGGCGGGGCCTGGGCGCGGCGCGCGCGGCGCTTGTGGAGAGGGGCGGAGTCTGGGCAGGTGCGGAGGCAGGTGCGGCTACAGGTGTGAGCGGGGCGGGGCGGGGCGGGGCGGGGCTTCTGCATCCACCGCTCTGCAGCTGCGCTCACCTACCCCTTCTGTTCGGGGTGCTCTGCAGCAACGCCTCCTAGACCACCCAAACTCAGCTTGCCCTTGCGGACTTGACCTTGTTTTTCACACACAGTTTTCTGTGTAAAATGACCTAATCAGCTTATATATTTGTCTCTGTCAGCCCTGTGAGGTCAAGAATGAATTCTGCCTTGTTCATCTCTATTTTTAGCACCCTGAACAGATCCTGGCACGAAGCGCTATTGAATGCCAGGAGCGTGAATCCACAGATTGACTCAATCGTTTCGTTCATTTGTGTGCTCGTTTGACTAGTAACCAAGAAGAACAACACCGGGCATATGCCCCCTGCAGGTGAGAAAAGAGATATTTAAAAAAAAATTCCAGAAGGCTGTGGACACATGCCTACGGATTTCAAGCCTTGAGAGGTAGAGGCAGGATCAGGGGCTCAGGATCATCTTCAGCCACAGAGCAATTTTGAGGCCAGTCGATTTGATTAGAGACTCTCAAAACCGAATAAAACAAAAACCAAGGCTGCTGGACAGGGTGGTACACATTTGTAATCTTCAGTACAGATAGATGGGAGGTGGGAGGCAGGAGAATTATTACAAATTCGGGTCTAGTTTGATCTGCATGCTAAGTTTCAAGACTGTGTCTTGAATTTTAGAAAGAAAAAAAAAACTCTCCTCTAAATTGCAGTACTAAGAGTGAATGCCAGCCAAAGACTTATTAGCACCTATTAATTCAGTCTTCACAGGGTTGTTGCCACTGTCACACCCATTGACAGAGGAGGACATAGAAGAAAACACACCTGTGTTAAGCTGCTGAGCCCAGCAGCCAAGTGAGAGCCTGTGGAATGTGTAGGAGAGAGACAAGATGGGGACCTGTGGTTACCTGGCACAGGCATTTTATCTTTTGTGGGATTTAGGATTGATTTACAGGGCCCTTGTACATGTTAGGTGAACAAGGCACTGCTGAGTATATACTCACCCCCACACTTTTGGTTTTTTAGGCAGTATCTTATGATGTAGCCCTGGCTAACCTAGAATTTGCCTTGTAGGCCAGGCTGCCCTTGAACTCACAGATACCTCTTGCCTCTGCCTCCCTAGTGTTGGAATTAAAGGGGTGCACCACCATACCCGGCTCCCACACCCTTTCTTTTGGGGCAGTCTAATGCCATGACCTTGAACTTGGCATTCTCCTGACTCCTCTGACACGCTGGGATTACATGCACACACCACTCACCCTGTGAGTCCTGTTCTCTTGACATTTAGATATCAAATGTTTCTTCCTTAAGGAGGCCCACCCTTGCCACCTCTCTGAGTCTATTCTTTGTCATGGTCACACTGCCATGACTCATGACTCATGTCTTCTGGGTGGAAAGTTAGGCACTCACCCTCTTTCTGATGTCATCTTTCTTGTTTCTCCTCCTCCTCATGTTAAAAGTCAGTCTCCTCAGACAGCACCCCACCGGATCTTGCTGTCACTCCTGTGACTTACAATGGACCTGGCATAAAATGTCAATGGCTTCTGAGAGAGGGAGAAAGGTTTTCACTAAAATTATTGCATTTTCCAGTCAGGATCTGAGTGCTCCTTTCCCAAGAACACCTCATGCTTGGCACACAGTACCCTCTGTGAACAAGAAATGACTGAGCCACTCTGAGCATGGGAATTCTAGTGGGAATGTTCCCACCTCTTCCTCCCTGGCTGTATGGGGTTGCTCTCCTATTCTGGGCTAGGATTTTAAGAATTTTCCCTGGAATGACATCTAAGAACATCAGGAGGGAGGCAGAGGTAAGGGGGTAGCAGTGTGTAGGTCTGTGGCATGTTGATGTCTGTGGTCCACATCTGCATGTGTGTACGTGCATGGCGTGTGTGTGTGCCTGTGGTGTGCTTATGCATGTGTGGTATGTGTATATGCGTGTGTAGTGTGGTGGGTATGTGTGCACACAAATAACACAGAGCAGGGGAGTGGGCAGGGCCTTTCTGTTTTCTGACGTTCAGTGTTAGGAAATGCTGGTTCTTCGTTGTCTGTACTGCCAGTCAGAACAGGCACCCGGTGATCATGTCTGTCCTCCCTGTGAATGCAGACTCTGGGGTAGCACATACACAGTCTGACACACAGAGCAGAGAATCTCTTTTCGGTTTATTTTTGGATCATTTTTCCCATTCGAGGTACAGAGTGGGGGTGATGGGGTCAGGAAGGGTGGTGTATTCAGCTTCTAGGAACACTATCGACTGCTAGCGCTCTCTCTGTGCCCTTTGGACCACTGGTGATGAAGAGGCAGGCACACAGGTTTTTCTGGAGCCCTCAGTCCAATCTCAAACAGAGACCAATGTCATATCCAGTCTGCTCAGCCCCAGGTCCTCACCAGGGATAAAGACAGCCAGATTCCATAATCAAAGAAAAAGGCTGGCCATGGAGAGATACGGTGGAGGGGTGTCCTTTCAGCTCTAGTCAGTGAGGTACAGACTCACATGTGTGAGTGTGAGATGGGCCAGTGTGGGCTAGTTCTCCACAAGCACCTGTTAGGTCCTGACACACACATCTGGCTTTCCTGTGGATGGCTGCTTTACTTTTCTTGTCCTTTTTCAAGAACTGGAACTAACAAGGCCAACAGCCCTCGTCAGCTCTCTGAAGGCCCCATCTTTCTTGGTCCTTGTTCCACACGTACAGGAGGTGGGGCCATGACTTAGTCCTAGAGCTCTGGGAGAGGTACCCAAGACTGGTGGGAGACAGAGGGGCTCACTGGGCAGCCGGATGGAAATGGCTACAGGGAGCCCATGATATCTCATCTTCTGCCAGATCCCTATTGAACTGGGAGGGGCTGTGGAGGAACTGCCTTAGCATGGGAGAAGTGTGGAGCTGGAGATGGGGGCCAGGGTCCATCAGCGGCTCTGCCTGCTGGGTGATCGTGGTGGAGGAAGTGAGGACTGTATTCCCAAATTGGTCCATCTCTTCATACTGCTCAGTCACTGTTCGAGTGGCTCCATAGGACTTGGAGGTAGCTGGCCCGCTCTGGAATTCCAGAACATTGTTTTGCTGCCCTGTGGGAACAGAGCCCTTGATGACCATCTCCTTTGTCCCAGTCTGATCCTGGATATCTCTCTGGTAGAGCAGGGCTTGACCTATGTCCTGAGCTAGGTGTGCATTTTTCCCTGAGATATAATGGCTTCCCTGAGGGCTAGAAGCTTCCAGAAGCTTCTTTGTAGCTGATTGGATAGAGATGAAAGTTGGAGAGGAGGATCCTCTGCAGGAAGGAGAGACTTGTTGGAGGCCAGGCTCGGCTCTTGGTGTCTCCGGCTTCCTGGAGGGCAGGAGGTTCACTTCTGCCTGACCTCTGGCCTCTGCATGATCTCTGATCTTGCCGTGACCTTCTTCTTCAAGATGGCTCTCAACCTTTTCTTGTTTTTTGACTACAGGTGGATCTTTGGCCTGGCTGGAGCCTGTCGGTCTGGCTCTGCTGCTGGCAGAGACCTTGTTCACACTGGGGTCCTTTGCAGTTCCCTGTGGATGGCTGCTTGGGTGAGCCTCAGACTGGAGGCTGGACATGGAGCTAAGAGCCTTGTGCACTGCTTCTTCGATGTCCAGCAGCCTGGCTAGGGTCTGTTCTTTCAGCTGGGCAACCTCTGTACTCACCCGCGTCAGTTCCCCGAAGGCCTGCTCCACTGAGGCCTGAGTCTTGTGGGAGGCGGTGGGAGTCTGAGGGGTACCCCCTCCCAGCTGGGGTACACCTTCAAAGAGCTTCCGCAGGGCCTGTACATCCACGCTGTGGGTTGCTTCCTTCTCCAGGATTTGCACTTGGCTCAGGAGGCCCTGGAGCTCTTGATGGCTGCCCTGTATAATCTCTGGTTTCTCAGGGGTCCCCTGCTTGGAACAGTCCATAGGTTGCTTCTTGGGGGAGCTAGGGTGCTTTTGTGGTGGGCTGGAGTCATTGTTGAGAACAATCAACTTAGGAGACTCAGGGCTCTGACTGTTGCTGCTGGTTGTCTGACCCCTGCTAGGCCTGGAAGCCGTAGTGCTGAGTAGATGCTGATGCACAGGTTGTTTCTGCTCCTTAGAGCATTCAGCCAGAGGCAGGCAATCCTGGCCTGCTGTTGTGGGAGCTTTGGCTGACCCAGGGTTGGCTACACCTGGCTTACCTGGCTTATGGTCTTGTCCTGCTTCTGAGCTTCTGGCAGAGCCTGCTAAGGGCTTGGGCAGCCTCTGAGGGGGGTGGAGTTGGCTTAGATGTGCAGGTTTGGGAGGCACTGGGGGTTTCTTTCTTGGAGGTACGGTGGATTCCGCTTTGGAGAGTTTCGTCTCTGACCCTTCAGGGGTTTTCTGGCCAGCGGGTCTGTTGTGAGTATGAAGAAGGGGTTCCTGCAGGGGCTTAGAGGCCTGCTGGATGGAGTCCTCCTGGTGGTGATCTTGAACTGGGTGGTCAGGTTCTTCTGTCACAGCAGCTGGGAGAGTAGGAGGGGGAGGAACAGAGGCATTATGGGAGTGCAGGCTGGCACCTGCAGCCTGGGGTTTAGATGTCAGAGTGTGGTGAGTTAGAGGGACAGTCTTCAGGGATGTGTCTGCTGCCTGAAGGCACTCAGGCCAGATTTGGGGCATCGCTGTCCCCACAGGTCCCCAGGCCCTTTGTGTATGACCCTCAGGTTCATGATACCCTGGCCTGGGACTCTGACCTTGGTCTGCCTGGAGTGGGCTGTCCCTCTGCTGGGGCTCTTTTTCAGAAGGCTGGATAGCCCCAAGTGGGTCAGAGGTTCTCACAGGGTGAGCAGCATAGATACCATCCTGTATGGTCACCCACCCCCTAGGCAGCCCTCTGGGGACTGCTTTGTTGTCCCCACTGACCTTTCTGGGAACTGCTGGGATCCTGGCTTCACTTCCAGCCACAGGCCTGATGCTACCTTGGGTAGTAGGCCCAGTGGCAGGAGTCGGCATATGCAGAACACCTTGGACAGGCATAGAGGTGGTTGCAGGGTCAGAACCCTGTGGATTCCTGCTCAGAACCTTCTGGTGCAGGCTTTGGGCTTCAGCAGTTGCGAAACGCAGATTTTGCATGGCTACCTGGAGATCTGGAGCTCCAGACCCTAGAGGGGAAGCAGTGGTTCCTTCTGGTCTTCCTGAGGCTGCCTTCTCTTTCTGCCCAGCATGACTGATATGCATTTGTTTGCTTGCTTCCTGCAATGGAGCTTGTGTTACAGGTCTGCCATTGGGAAAGACCACTTTTCCAGCTGCCCGAGGTGGGGGTGGACAGGGTGTGGACCCTGGGACTCTCAGATGCCCCATCTCCATGGTGGAGTCTAATGGGGTAACATGTATGATGCTTTCAGTTGGGGGAAGCCTCTGGGACTCCTCAGTAGCTGGCACAGAACTTGAGTCTGTTGGCGGCTCCCACTGCAAACTGTGAAGGCTGTGTAGGTCTCCTTTGTCTATGCAGCTGGCCAGCAGCTGCACACTGCTTCTTTCAGGGGCCCTGCTAGTTAGCTGGGGCTGGAGGGAGTAGGCAGTCAGTGCCACTAGGCCCTGTCCTGTCTCTTGCATCACCAGCCCCGTCTTTGCCACAGAGACTCCCAGGCCACAGGCCAGCAGCTGCTTGAGCTCAGGGTCCATGTCTTCAATATTCCCAGGGTCACCAGGCCCTGGCAGCTTGAGAGGGTGGAGTTGGAGCTGGCCAGCTGTGTCCTCCTGAACCAGCAGTCCCTGCTGGTCCACATCTGTCCGGCGTAGCACTTGACGGACAATCCTGGGGAGTTCACCACACACCAGCTCCTCTTTCCGTACATAGGGGTGTCCCTGCCCTGGGCTTGGGAGCACATACTTGGCAAGGCAGAGCTCCCCTGGGCCTCGGACTTCCATGAGGATTCCTCCATGGTGTAGGATGCCAGGAGTGGCATGCAAAATCCTAAGGGTTCTCTCGGCTTCTGTCTCCTGCCTCTCTGGTGTCCCACGGTCTACAGAGCCTTTTGGCTGTTCTTCCTGGAGGTTATCCCCTCTGATGCTCTCAGCTGCCAGGGAGCCCATGGGGCAGTTTTCAAAGAGCCAGGTGAATTTATGCACAGAGCCCGGGGGGATGGATTCTGGGGCTACTGTGGTCTCTTGTACCTCCTTCTTGCCCACCTCCAGGGCCTGGAAAAGCTCTTTCTGCCGAGATACCTGCCCAGAAGGAATCTCCACCCGGCTGCAATACCTTACAGGCTTTCTCCCACTGGACTGGCTTGAGGCTGGTAGGGATTCAGTCTCAAAGACATGCCTATCTGTCTGTCTGTCTCCACCCCGGACCTGGCTTGTTTGCAGGTGCTGTTCCCCAGAGCCTTCTGCCTGGTTCAGAGACTGGGGTCTAAACATCCAGGTACATGACTGTGTCTCAGCCTCGGCCATGGGGTCTGAGACCTCGGATTCTCGCTTCTCTGCCAACTCGCTCATAGGGTAGGTCTCAAACAGCCAGCGGATGGTCTGTACATCTCCCTTCTGGGGGGGCTCTGGAGGGGGGCCTCCTGGACCCCTCCCCTCCTCCTCCTCTCGTTTCTGTTGTTCTTGTTGGTGGATCATCTCCAGTGGCTGTGTCTCAAAGAGCCACCGAGTGGTGCCAACATCCCCAGCCACCACTTCCTGCCTAGTGATACCTCGTACTACATCAATGGTACTGGGGCTTCTACCCAGCTGGTCCAGGGGCTGTGTCTCAAACATCCACTTGTAGCCCTGTACATCACCTCCAACTACCTGCTCTCTGCTGACAGAAGTCAGGGCGTGAAGCTGTCCCCTGCTGTCCTGCATAGCATATACAGGGGCATCTGAGCCCTGGGATGGCTCAGCAGAATCAGTCTTTCGTCCTCTGTTTATGTTGCCATAGGCTGAAGGCTCATCCTGCCCAATGCTGTCTAAGGGAAGGGTCTCAAAAAGATTCTTGAAGGTCTTCACGTCCCCTTTCAACCCATTGTTCTGGGGGACACCCTGAGACAGAGGTAACACCGAAGTGCCATTACTGGACAGACACTCAGTCACAAGCCCCTCGCCCTTCTGGTGATCCACACGTTGCAGGTGACCTACTTGGACCTGGTCTCTGAGAGCATCCAGGGGTTTTGTTTCAAATAGCCAGAGTGTAGAGCGGACATCACCAGGAATCACCTCCTCCTTGGGTGGAGCCTCTGCCTCCGTTTCTCTTTCCCCCTTCAGAGTGTCCAGGGCACAGGTCTCAAACAGATGTCGCTGATGCTGAACATCTGGACCAGGAGGGATGAGATCCGGAGATGGCTGGAAGTCCTTCTCGTCCACCAAGATCTCACGAATGGCATCCAGAGGCTGCGTCTCAAAGATCCAACGAGTTGCGCTGACATCGGGCAGGGCTCCCTCCTCAAGGGAGATCCCCCGGATCACCCTCACTTGGCTGGGGTCCTGGTTGAAGGCATCCAGAGGTCGGGTCTCAAAGAGCCAGCGAGCTGACCTCACTGCATTGCTCTGAATCTCCTCCCGGCAGGCAGCCTTGACTTCGTGGATGGCGCCCTCTGCATCCTGGATGGCGCATAGAGGTTCCGTCTGAAACAACTTCACCGTCTTCTTCACATCACCCTTCAGCTCCTGAATCTCTGAGCGCAGCTCTAAAGGGCTCTGCTCCTGGATGGAGGGGCGGGAACCCAGCCGGTCCAGGGGCCTAGTCTCAAAAAGCTTTCTGGTTCCCTGTACATCTCCAGTGGCTGCAGGTTCCTTCGTGATTGTCTGTGTCGCCTCCTCCTGGCCTGTTAGTGCATCCAGTGGCTTGGTCTCAAACAGCTGTCTGGCAGCTCGGACATCACCCCCTGACGGCCGGGGTCCCGCCGGCTCCTGATCTGAGCTGTTGGTAAAGGAGCCTTCCTCAAACTTTCGAGAGGTGGCCTGAACGTTGCCACCTGACACAGGTTCCTTGGCAGCTGGCCTCTCGTGACCGCCAATGGCATCCAGCCGCCAATTCTCAAAGATCCAGCGCATACATTGAACATCGCCTTCCGTGGGCTCCTCTGAACCAAGTACCTCGGCCAGGTCCTCAGCCACAGCCTCCTCGAGGTTCTTCCGAAGCTCAGGGTGGATGTGTTTGTAGAGACGGCGGAGCTCGCTGGCTTGCCGCTGCTGCTGGAACTTGGAGAAGGATTCCCTGGGGGGCGGCGGCGGCAGACCCTCAGGGGCTGAGGGAAGAGGGAGGGACAGGTCCTCTCCAGTCCTCATTTGGATGGTTGATGTAGGAGCTACCTGCATCTGGGCATCAGCCATCCTTCTGGGAAGGAGGGGAGAAGCTGAGTTGAGTGAGGGGCAGTTCCTGGGTTAACTAGCAGGAGAAAGGCTAGGACTGTGTGGCCGCTACTGAGGGGTTCCCACATCTCTAGATCTCTAGCCTGGGGCTCACTCTACCACTGCTTGGCTGATGTATGACAGTCCATTCATTCATCAGTATGAGTCCCTGCTTCCTAATCTCACCTGGGTCACTGGACTCAAGCAGGACACAGCTGGATGGAGACTCTTCCGAGCCTCTGGAGAGATCCGAATATCCAGTAGGAAAGCTGAATGAATCACCTACATCTCCCTCTGTCAAAATCATCTACCCCCGGCAGACTCCCAAGTGGGCGCGCTGAAGAGCTCGTTCTTGGGAAAAGCCTAAATTAAGGTGTCCTTAAATGAAGACTCATTTCCTATAGTGGTGAAATTCCCCCACACACCACCAGAGGGCCCACTTAGCATGTTTACTAGAAACCTTTCTCTAACCTCCAGATGGTTGGCTCTCTCTAACCTTTCCCGGGCCCCTGGGTCCACAGCCCTTGCTGGTGAAATAGAGGCCCAAGGAAGAGGAAATTGCCCATGTTAAGGCAGAGCCAATATTTGAATTCCAGATCAGGGTTTTTGTTTCACAGGCAGACAGGGCCTCAAGTAGCCCAGACTGGGCTCAAACTCGATGCATAGCTAACTGTGACCTTGAACTCTCCCCTGCCTCCACCTTGCAAGTGTGAGATTTCTGGAATGTGCCACCAGTCTACACACTGGGGATTAGACCTAGGCTTCGTGCATTCTGGGCAAGCATTCTCCCAACTGAGCCACCTTGCCAGTCCTGGACGAACTGTCTACTAAGTTTTTTTCTCCCCACGGCTCTCTGTAATAAGAAACTCGAGTTTCAGGGTCAGATCTTACAGAATGAATTATAGGCTATGCTGACTTGGAGTCCCTAGACCTTACCAAAGGCCTGACTCCCAGGAAATAGCAGGATTGGGTGTGCTGGGCCTTGCTATTCCTCATGCACCCCTCTTGTCCTGCATCCCTGGGAGAACAGGAAGGTCATGTACCCAGGGTATGTGTGTGCACTAGAAGATTGTAGGGTTAAGGTCCCTTCTGCCAAAGCAGCTCTGGACATGAGAGCCCTCCCTTGGCTCACAGAGTGCCCTCCCCAGTTGTATACCAGCAAGCATAGCCTGCAGAGTCTCTAGGGCAGGGCTTCCAGCCAGAATCTAGATCCTGCTTCCACCGAGGCATGCGTCTCCCTGACTCTCCTCACACCTCACAATCTCCAGCCATCTCCTGCTCTGTTTCATGTATGTCCTATCTGTCTTGTGACAGGTGTTATGACAGTCCCCAGAGGCCATTAGGGAAAGAATGTAAAATATGTGCCCCCTCCTGCTGCCCCGACCCACTCCTCTGCCCTGCACTTGGCACTAAATATAGCTGAGGTCCAGGCCTCAGCCAGACATCATGGCACTCAGAAGGAGGTTCCAGCTCAGCCAGGGAGACCTGGTGTGCCCATGCCCCAACTCTTTCCATACTTTGGGCTCCTAGAATACGCTGCCTTATGCTTCCTGTGATATGCCCAGGTATTTGACCTGTAGGTCAAGTTGGAGATACCCATCACTCAAAGGGATCAGAGGCTGTGGGGTGAAGCAGGAATACTGGTGACAAGAGAGGGCTTCTTCCTGACCTCCTGTCCTGACCTCCTACCTTAGAAGGAGAAGAAGGAAAGGCTGCTTGCCTCCTCCCTCCCTGGCCTGTTCACTGAGGATTTGAAAATGCAGAGGAAGCAAGATATGACATCCCCTTATGGAGCCCCAAGCAAAACCTCTGGGTGGTCCCTCTTGTCTCTGAGCTCTGAGTAGGAGACCACACACAAACCTGTCCCCACTTCTGCTCTATCTGGTCACCATGAGGGCGGCCTTTTCAGATTTCCTATACAGACCACCAGCTGCCCTCAACCCAGACTCCCAGGGATCCCCAAAATCCTTGCTAGGGTCACAGAGGCCAGAAAGGTCAGACAAGGAGCCACAGAGGCCAATGAATCTAATGGCCTGTTGTTAGGAGATATAGTAGCCCAGTGAGAAGACAGGGGCTGCCCATAGAGGCTCAGCTGAGGCTTCAGAAAAGCCTGAGGCAGGCTTTCAGGCTCCTGGCCTTCCCAGCTCTACTGTCATCTGGCCTGAGACTTCTAAGGGCAGGTATGGGGCCAGGTTTAGGATATAGTAAGTTTCGAAGACTATCCGCACATAGATATGCTGAGATCGCCTCTCAGCACTGCCGACCACTCAGGACTACCCACCTCCACCTCGGACCCCTCTCTGGCTCCAGCCTGCTCTAGATGCCCACTGCTGGGCACGCATATTCAGATCCGATCTCTCCAGGCTTCGTTGGAGGATTTCCCCATGGGACAAGAAAATGGCCTGAGACAAAGTCATGCTACCTAAGCTGCCTCACGAGGAAAGTTGCTCACAGGCTAGCCTGGGCACAGAATCACTGGGGCCATTTATGCCAAGACTGTGACCAACAATAGCTGGGGACTGGGCTTGCCCTGGCTGTCCCGGGTCCCTTACCTTCCACCTCTCTTCTCTCTTTCTCGCAGGCTCAGGCTACTTGAGAGGAAGCCCTGAAGCAAGAGGAACCCCATATCAGCATTTTTACTTCCTTTTCAGACAGAATCTCACTCAGTCCAGGTTGGCCTCGAACTCAGTAGTTGAGGATACCTTAAACTTCAGACTCTTCTGCCTCCACCTCCCAAGACAGATTACAAGCATGGAACGTCATTTCTGGTTTTCTGTGGGGAACCTAGGGCTTTGTGCATGCTATGCAAGTGCTTGACTAGCTGAGCTATGTCCCAGGCTCATAGCTGTATTTGAAAAAATCAAAACTCCAGTTGGGCAGTGGTGGTACACGCCTTTAATCCCAGGACTCTGAAGGCAGAGGCAGGTGGATCTCAGAGTTTGAGGCCAGCCTAGTCTACAAATCAAGTTCCAGGACAGCCAGGGCTACACAGAGAAATCTTGTCTCAAACAAAACAAAAAACAATCAAAACTCCAGACCAGAATGATGGAGCAGTGGTATAGGTACCTCCTGCTTTTTCTGAGGGCCAGGGTTCTATTCCTGGGAGCCACGTACATGGGAAAAGAGAGAAACAATGGGGTCTGAGCCCTACACTTTCACCATGATGTATGGACCCATTCACACACACACACAAAATAAAACCATAATTTAAAAATTAAAAAACACAAAGCTCCAGGCAACAATCTGAAACTATCTCTTGACTATACTAGGTCAGAGGGAATCCGCTTATGGGCCTGCCTGAGGTAGCCACAGCAACTGCTGACCACATCCAAACACTTGCTACCTTCTAGAGAAAAGTCTTGGTGGCTTTTCTCTCTGGGGCCTGTACACCTATGCCACATCCTCTCGACACCCTCCCCGCTACTACCAGACTCCCTCCTGACACCCACCATTGCAAAGTCCAGAGGGCCATGGCCTAGAGAGGTAGCCTAGCCTATACCACCAGAGGGGAGGGTACTCACCAAAGGTCTGGCTGGTGTCTGGGTGCTTTTGAGTGTCTACCTTGGGGTCTGTCGCTCTGCTGGGATTCTTTGTTGTTGGTTCTGTTCTGTTCCTGGGTCCCACGCCTCTCTCTACCTTGGCTCTGGGTCTCTGTTCTCAGGCAGCCAGGCAGCTGCCTTTATCTGGCTGGCTGGGGGTGGGTGAGGGTGGAGGCGGGGGAGAGGCTATGTTCGGAGTATTAAGTGGTCCGGTTATTTTTAGGGCTTGTGGAAGTCACTTTTCCATCCTGGGGAATCAGTTACAAGTCCTTTGGGCTGGGGAGGGATAGAGTGGAGGAGGAGTCCCATTCATCCCAAGTCTGCCCGGAGGACTGGGGTGGGTGACTCAGTCGTGGATGGAGACATCTAGGTTATTTTGAGGAGATGAATAGGGGGATACTTGACATATGAGTGACCCTGTCCTCTTATCCTGCAGGTCCCCTCTCTCTATGCTGGACTCACATGTGTTCCACCATGCCCAAAGCCTAGCTGCTCCCTGAGGGCAGGACCGGATGTCTCACTACCGGAAAGGCTCAACCTCTGTTTCTCTCTGTGCAAAAACAAAGCTGGCCTGTCTTCCATCCATTCTTGCCCTCGTTCCACAGCCTAGGTCTTCGAAGCTATGAGGGAAGTAAACTTGGGGGTGAGAGGGATTTCTGAAGGAACAGGCCCTTGATTTATCAAAAAATTTGAAGGATGGATCCATGGTGTCCCAGCCCAGTAACCTGGGTCCATGGCTACTTCTAGACTCTTCCCTCTGACTCAGGGCCCAGACTCTCTGGGAATGGCTGGGAGGACCTACACATGGAAGCTGACTGTGGTGTTATTTCTGACCCTGGAGTCATCATCTTCGTGGTCACAGATGGAGTGACAGACTGTGCACCTGTCTCCTCCTCAGTCACACGGAGCCCCAGGAACCTGGCAGGCTTCGTCACTTACTTGGCACTAAGGCCCGTGTGGAGAGATGCCACAGAAAATACGGAAGAGGCTTTTGTCCCAGGTGGGTGTAGCAGGAACAGCTCTGCCTCTGAGTAAACGCTGGGGGCCTCGTAGCCACAGAAGCATCTCCCGCAGGAGGATCTAATTGAGGACTGCCTGAGAGACCAAGGATTGCTGGTGCAGACAATGCCAGCCAATCAGGAATCGCCGTTTAGAAGAGATACTTTCTTTGGGACCAATGGGGCGCGGGTGGGAGGTATTAAAGGACCTTGCAGCAGCGTTCAGATGAGCTTGCTGCAGCATTTCTCACCTGCTCCCAGAGTCCGTGTTATTGACTTTGCGCCACCTCACCTCCAACCCTCAAGGGCATGTAGGGTCGGTGGCGAGTAGTCCAGGGCACAGGCAACAGGTGGGAAGCCAGGCTCCTCCCTGGGTGTGAGTGTTCGGTCTTCCTTCTGAATTCCATGTACCTTCAGACGCCAGGGGTGATGACAGGCGTTGTGAATCTTTTCCATGGTGTCAATACCATCCTGCTGTCAGCTCCGGCCTGGGAGGTACATCTTGGACCCTTTCTCTCTCTGTCTCTCCTCCCTCTCTTGTCCCTATCTCCTTCCTCAGAATCCTGGTTGTCTCTGGAAGGAACAGAAGTGGCAGAGCCTCCCTGTCACGGGGTATACCAGAGGAGGCAGGAGCATCTACAACCAGGAGTGAATACCTCCCTGGGTGATTGTGAGCACTGAATGAATTATCATATGAGACAGCTGTGGAGAGTGCTTACCACATAGTGTGTGTTATAAAACTGCCTGCTCTTATGTCATAAGAACAACACAGCATTGAGGAGAGGCTCAGCTGCTGAAGGCACTTGCCACCAAGCCTGATGACCTGAGTTCAATCCCTGGGGACCCACCTGGCGGAAGGAGCGAGTTAACCTCTGCAAGTTGTCCTGTGGCCTTTAAACAGAAAATAGTTTCTGAAAAAAAGGTCTAAATTAAGCAGGGTGTAGTGGTACAGGCCTCTAATCCCAGCACATGGGAGGCAGAGACAGTGGTTCTCCGTGAGTTTGAGTCCAGTCTAGTCTACAGGCCAGCCAGGGCTGCATAGTGAAATCCTGTCTCCCCCTTCCTCCAAAAAGTAATCAGAGGGAGGTGGTGGTGGGGGGAACACGCAGGCAAGCTTGCTTTCCCAGTGTCAAGTGTGCTAACTCCTGGAGAAATCCCCAGGCTTCCATCTTCATTAAAGGGGTGACAGGCTCCCTCCCCCCACACCTCACTGGAAACAAGCTGTTGGTTAAATTTAAGTTATTAACCAGTAATCCCAACATTCAGGTGTATCCAAGAGGATTGTTGTAAGGTTCTGTTTTGTTTTTTGGTGTCACAAGTGCCCCAGCCCCTCCACCTCTGGTCTCGCTCTCTCTATAGCCCTAGCTGCCCTAGAAATCGTTCTGTAGATCAGGCTGGCCTCAAACTCAGAAATCTGCCAGCCTTTGCCTCCTGAGTGCTGGGTTTAAAATGTGCCACCACTGCCTCTCAGCTGGCTCATGACCTGATGCTCCAGGGCCCTGTCTCTCCCTGCCAGCGCCTCTTCTAGGCAGGGTCTGTTCATGACAGGATTGAGAAGGGGTTTCTAGCCTGCCTCCACACAGAGGAAGTCCTTGGAGAGCAGGTCCAGTAGATCAAGGCCTGGTCAGGAGACACACTGCCTGGGTTTGAATCTTACCTGCGATGATTTAAGAATCTCATTTATTTATTATTACCGTGTGGGTAGTGGCGGCATGTGACACAAGGCACATGCGGAGATCGGAAGACAGCGTGGCAGAGTTGATTCTCTCCTTCCACCTGGGAATGAGGTCAGGCTTGGCTGCAAACACCTTCAGCTGCTGAGCCACCTCAGTGGTCCCCACGGCATTTTTATGCCTTGAGTATTCTGTTGGATGGATGGAGACGCTTGGAGGACTGTTCTAGTTTGCTTCTGTTGCAGTGATAAACACCATGACTAATAGTTCTACATCACAGCCCATCACTGAGGGAAACGACAGGAACTCAGGCAGGGCAGGGACCTGGAGGAAAGCAGCTTTACTGGCTAGTTCCCTGGCCCAGGCCCACCTGCTTTGGGATGGTGCTAGCCACAGTGGGCTAGGGCTCGCCTACATTAATTAGCTATGAAAAGTGCCCCACAGACATGCCCATGGGTCAATGTGAGGTAGCTGAGGGTGACCTTAAACTTGTGATCATCCTCCTTCAAACTTTTTTTTTTTTTTTGGTTTTTCGAGACAGGGTTTCTCTGTGTAGCCCTGGCTGTCCTGGAACTCACTCTGTAGACCAGGCTGGCCTCAAACTCAGAAATCCACCTGCCTCTGCCTCCCAAGTGCTGGGATTAAAGGCGTGCGCCACCACCACCTGGCTCCTTCAAACTCTTGAATGCTGGAATGATTGGCACTTACCAACATAGCTGAGTTACTCAGTGCTGGGGATAGAACTCAGTGATTTGTCCAAGGCAGGCATATACTGTATCAACTGAGCTATGCCCCAGCTCTTCTAGAAGATTCTAGTCAGGCAGAAGTAGTAGTACAGTCATCAGAGAGTCACAGAGAGATTGCAAGGTGGACAGAAGCTGAACACTGGTATACAGGGTTGCCTTTGTATCTGACAAGATTTAGAACATGGCCTGCTGCAGGAGCATGCCTGCAATCGTGCATACAAGGTGAACCAGTCTCAAAGAACAGAAATAAAGCATACAAAAGTTCCTGGTGACAAGCCATAGTGTTGTAGGATTTTACTGCTGAGGTGAACTACTGTGAGCAAAAGCATCTTCCATCTCAGAGTTCATCTTTGAAGGAAGTCAGGGCAGGAACTTGTGTCAAGTTGTGTCAAGTTGACATAAAATCTAGCCAGCACACAGAGCCAAAAGAGAAGATTACATGACGCTGTCGAGGAAAATCGAGGCCCTTTTTATTGTCTGGCTTGGGGAGAGAGGTAGGACAGCAGAGTGGTGGGGAACAGTGGCTTTGAACAGGAGATGCCAGGAGGAGCCTGTGAATCACACTCAGAGCTGGAAGTCAGAGAGAGAGAGAACTGAGCTGGTATCCCCTGCACCTGTAGGGGTCTGAGGGGTGCTGATCTCCCAAATGACCCATGAAGAGAGTGGGCTCAGTGTTGGACCTGGGAGGAGGGAGACTAGAGATATGACAGGGTGTGTGTGTGGGGGGGGAGGGGGGGAGAGGTTACAGTCAGAGAGTAGCTGGAGGCCACTCGGAGACAAGAAGCTATTTTGGGAAGAAAGAGTGGTGCAGTGTGGGTAAGACCGGCTGCCAGGAGCCACAGTATGTCCTGTGGGATCCCGGCCGAGCAAGAGGTGAAGCATGGCAACCCTGGCTGGGACTTCAGGAGAGGACGACGGTCTGAGCCACAAGGGAGACTCAAATGGAAATTAACACACGGGCCAGGATTGTTGTCAGACAGACAGACAGACAGACAGACAGACAGACAGACCAACTGACTGACCGACGGGCTGACCGACCAACCATCAGGAAAGAGTCATATAAATAAAGTGGGAGTGCTAGGCTAGGCTAGGACACGTGGTTCCAGGGACAGAAAATGGAATTTGAAATAGGTGGCATTATCCTCAGCTACCAGAAGGGGGCAGCATGTCACCATTCTGCTGTGGCATTGAAGTCACCTTAGTCGTTGTGGGCCGCC